GGAATCTCAGCCAATCTCCTGACATGAACTCCATCGAAAACCTCTGGGCCGTACTCGACCGGCAAGTCAAGAAATAACAAAAAAAAACCAACTTCGAAGAGCGATCTACTCCAAGTTTTGAGGCAAGAGTGGGCGAAAATTCCACAATCTAAAATTGACGAGATGATGCTCACGATTTCCCAAAGGATCAACGAACTCCACGAGGCGAAAGGAAGATCTACTAGATATTATTTAAATTACAAATATATCAATTCATGTGAATATGCTTGAAAAGTTTCATTTTTTCTCAAAAGGTGGTGTCTATTTACTTGTGACCACGCTGTGTACTTCTTCCAACAATATTACCACCACTCCAGAGTGGATATTGTTCATTCAAGTCTCCTAAACTAAGAAAAGGGGATAACATCTACATTATTAGGTTATCATTGACTGCTTGATCAAAAGTTTCGGATGATGATCAGGCTAATGAAGACAGATGACAACAGCATCCAGTGGTATAGTAGTGGGGCATGGTGGAGATAGATTTCTTCATTGGACTCTCCGTAAAGAAAGACAGAGACTTAATATAAGATATAAGATTCACTTGGGATACAAATTATAGATGTCTGCACCAAAAATAGCTCTGCTTCAATACTAGCGTGACCAGTTAGCACGTTTTACCAAGGCTGCAAGTAAAAGAGGTGTGAGTACTGACAGATGATACAGCAAGGCTTAGAGGGATAGAAGATAGAAGGTATTATCGCGGTCCTTTTCTTTGCCTACCTGTCAATGTAAAGTAGTAGATTTGTCATGATCTTTCTAACTGTGCCTGTTGTGATAGTAATGAAAGGTAAGATAAGAACAAGAAGCCTGGTTGGCTCATACTTATTTCTTTTTCCACAAACAGAAATCTGCTGGACAATTGTAAGATTCTGATATTTCCTGTCGAAAGAGTTTCTTCTTCCGTGGTGCCGTGAAAATTGGTCATGGCAATCATTCCTCTGGAGGAGTTTAGAATGTTATGGTAGTCACCTAAATGAGAGTCCACTCGAGAGACATGGGTGAGAAAATCAGCTTACTATTTTCTTGTATTTATATTTCAGTGAGAATATTTTGATTAAAGCTTTTAACTGATCAAGGGGTGTCAGCAAAACTTTCTGAACAAAAAGTAACATTTTATCAAACTATAGTCCAACAGTAAATGAAGGATGAGAACATTATGCAAAAATTGATTGTGCGAAAAAAGAAGCAGTATCGTCAATGTGAGACCTTTTCAAGGTCCAATCAGAATTTTTAATGCTTAAAATATGAATAAAAAAGTTACAATTCAGAATCCACCAACCTCACCCACTAAAAACCCTATAAAGGACATGTAATCCTGTTAAAAGCAGGTTTTTGGAGCTGCTTTAGAGTTTTCTGAGCACTATAGCCAAATATCACTATACAAGTTGAGGTCGTCCAAGGTTATTGAGCAGCTTATTGATTTTGAGGGAGTCACCCCATGGCCTCTAACCTACAATTAATAGTAATTAAAAGCCAAAGATGTGTATTTTGATGCAAACCAGACACCACTCAATCACCAGGAGCCTCTCCTTCTTTTCACTGATCACCACGCACGGTAAACATATGGAAAATATTTAAATCACAAGCACAATCTTACCTGGGAGGTACCATCATCACGAAAAATATTCCCCATTCGCAGGTGGAAATTGTTATTGAATACTGTAGTCTTACTACAATGTTCAAAATGGCGAACTACTAATAAGTGATTTACTTCTGGAACATTGTAACAGGTTTTGTTTCAAGTTAATTTAATCTGTGGCGAATACCTAATAGAAAAGTTATGGTTCTAATGTGTATGAAAGTACGTTTTTCCTTATTATAGATATTTAGATGTACAATATACAGAGCTTATATTTATACTATCTCGTATTACTTTATGCTAAACATCGTATACTATAAATCATGTGAAGAACCCGTTCTGAAATTATAATGCAATTTTTATACAAATTCCTGTTGAAATATGGTGCACGTGACAGCTGGTGTATAACATTTTAATATTACTTGCGTTACAATGAGATCTTGGAGTTATTTACTTTTGACTGCTGCCTTAAAGAGAGCTCAACTACATTCGATACACACAGAATAACTCCACATTTTTCTAAATTTATTTCTTGCAACATATTCAATTTTCTTGTGCCTGTAGTTGTTTTTGCACTTAATAGAAATATATAGTATATTAATGTATGACAGTTCGAGGGTGTAAATTTCTCTGAAAGGTAGGTAACGCAGAAAGTGTGTCTTATTCCCTGCCACCCCATTTCTCACTTAAACATATAGAATTCGTGGAAAATTAGCTATGCTTGCATATCTGTCATTCGTGATGTGACATCAGTGTTAAGGACGTTTTAGGGCGAAAAAAAAAAGAGAGCTGTGATGATGTAAACTGTACCATCCATTTCTTTACTCAAACGTCTGTGTTTAAGCTAAACTGCTTAAGCATGTTAGAATAATGACAATGTTATTGTATTTCACGAATTAGACCCTTGGGAATTAATTCAAATATTCTCTACATAAGGATCTTGATGTTGTATATATAAAATTCTGTTTTTTACACTTTAAAAATAACGC